GCAGGAGGTCACCTCGAAATGACATGAATAGAGACGATTTGGAATAAAATGTGCAAGGTCTTCAAGATGCACCGTTTCCAGTGCCCCGGGGACTTTGTGGCATCGCCAGTAACGTCTCCGTGTCCCCAACTCCTCGCGGTGCGGCTCTGCCTCGGGAGGAGGGCGCGGGATGTCACAAAAGGCTTCCCGTTCATTTTCTGGGTCGGCACGGCCCAAGTGCCGGACTCTCGAAAGGATGAGATAAACGTAAAAATATTGAAGAAAACGTAAAGGACGAGGCTGCTAAGCTAAAATTCATCCTGTGAAAACAGATGTCAGATCATAACCTGAGTTTATGTAGGAAAGTTTATGTCTCTCTGTCACCACTGAAAAAACGCGTGACAGTGGACCGCGCGACGTTCGTCACCCGCGATTTTAAACGTGCGACGACTTCCATGACTCAAACCACGAATTCGAGCAATAATGGCTCGTGAGTGACGGTCTGTCGTGGAATAGACGCGCGTGTCTCTCTCCTCCGTCGCATGTTTGTTTTGTGTCATTTACAGTGACCCTCAAAATGCCTTGCACGGCCGTGGGCACCATAAAAATTACCAACACCAGCACCGATCCTCTCCCGAGGATCGAATTTGATATTGCTGCAGTTACGTCATTTTCAGCCATGACATTCACTGAACACGATAAGTCAGAAATTGTTTCCCTGCTTTACTTTTGAACCCGAGAGAGTCGTCTTACTGTTGGCCATCACGATTGCAGGTGACTACGTCGTCATGACGATATATTTCGAGCTGAGTCGGAGGATGGGCTACTTCACCATTCAGACTTACATCCCGTGCATTCTGACCGTGGTTCTATCCTGGGTGTCATTTTGGATCAAAAAAGACGCTACGCCAGCACGAACCGCGTTAGGTGAGTTTCGAGAAAGGTCTCCTGTGTTGTTTTAACACAGAAGTGTCCCTAAAAACACTTACGATGGAAGAGGCTCTGTTCCGATGCAGCAGATCTCGCCTGGACGGTGCTCAGAGAGTTTCAGGGGGTCCGGTTAGGTGCTCATTTCTGACAATGGGATTCCACGTGTGCCCCTTAAATGACACTGAGGTTAGAATTCGGAATAAATCAATCGCACCATCCGATATTACGCCCTTAGGACAATGTCCTACACACGCAGTCACTTCCCAGAATCCGCCACCCTCAAAAGTCTCTCTCAGTGCGACAGAACGTGCCGTGCCTTTGCGGTCCCCATGCGGGGGTGGCAGACTGTGTCTTCATTAAAAAAAACGAAAGACAAAACAAAAAAAATTAAAGACAAAACAAAAAAATGAAAGACAAAACAAAAAAAAATTAAATTGCTGAACAAACCGAAAGGCGCCCGCTCCATTCTGGCGTTTAACGTTGCCGTAAAGCCCGGGTCAGAAACGTCACGGGAACGTGGCGTCGGGAGGGACACGTGGCACTCACCCGGTGCCCGGGACGGGCGACGTGACGCCACAGCGGCGGGAGGGCGGGTCCCCGCGTGGCCCTTCCGCAGCTGCAAACCTGTCCCCGCAGGCATCACCACGGTGCTGACCATGACCACGCTCAGCACCATCGCCAGGACCTCCTTGCCCCGCGTGTCCTACGTGACAGCCATGGACCTCTTCGTGACCGTGTGCTTCCTGTTCGTCTTCGCCGCCCTGATGGAGTACGCCGCCCTCAACTACTACTCCAGCTGCAGGAGGCCCGCGGCCGCCAAGCAGCCGCCGCCGGTGAGTGCGGGAGGGCGGCGGAGGGACAGCCCGGGCCCCCCGCCGGTGACGGAGATGGGTGTCCCCGTGCGTCGAGGCCGCTCTGCGCCCGAGCGACCCGCGGTCTCCGGAGCGGTCCCTCACGATGCTTCTGCTTGCCTCGTAGTCGCTGCAGCCGGACCCCTCGCAGTGGCTCCACGGGCGGGTGGCCCTGCCGGCCCCCTCGGTACGTATCGCGCTGTGGGGGCATTTCCGCAGACTGTCGCCAAACCGCGGGCGAAAGGACGTCACTGCCGACGCGTACGCTCCCTCCAATGCGCCCCCTCGTTTTTTAACATCCGGCTTAGACAATCGGGAGCGTAAAGGAGAAAAATTAATCGCCCTCCTGTCGCCCGGGACTAGTGTGTAGTCCACGGACTTCCGTTCTGCAGCTCAGGACGTGTCATGAACAAGCTCCTGTGTCACACGTGAATTTTGCAGGGTCAGTTTTTACCTGCATCCCGTGCTCGGTCTTGGCTGGACAGTGAGCTAACGCCGTCCTTGTCACCACGGCTTTGCGTGCTCCTGGGACAGTTGACTTGGCCGTTAGCAGAATTCTGCCGCAGCCGCCGCTCGGGCGAGTGCCCCACGGCGCGTCCTTGACTGTCGATGACGTTGACAGTTCCCACTCGTTTATTTTTGACTCGCGTTTGTGCCCCTGCCGATGGCTTTTCATGTCTCTTAACTTTTATCGGTTTTCCTAACGCTTCTGTGATGTTTCGGCCCCTTCGCTTCCTCACTGTCGCTGTCTGCAGTTACTTCTGTGCCGCGCGTGTCGCAGTTTGCGTACCGTGTGCAGGGTACAGAGTCGCGTGTGGAACACGTTAGGACATCAACCCGCTTTTCGTTAAGTAGCTTTTACGCTTCGGCTTTCGTTGGCAATGTTGTCGCTATCGGGTCTTGTGCCTTTTGCCACGCGCACTGTTTTAAGTCGCCTGTTGTCGGATCTGTCACCCTGAAGTCCTCGCCTCTGTGTCCCGGTTGGGGTGGCCCGCCCTCCTCTCGGAAGGACACGGTCCCCTCACATTCGTTTGTCTGTGCGACACCATGTGCTAAGGGCTCGTTTACCCTCACGACAACCCACGGTGCAGACGAGGACACGGAGGTGTGGAGAAGCACAGCCCTGTCGATGCTCACCGAGGTCTCACGATTATAAAAATCGTTCCCTTGTTCACACCCCCGAATTTCCAGTTTACAGCTGAGGTGAGAATCTAACTGCTCAAAACCGGGGAGACGTGGCTTTAAATCGCTGGCGTGAGCCGCCGCCCCGCGTACAGCCACCTTTACACACGCCTACGTGTGTCTGTTATGCCCGCGGTCGGCCACAATTAATCGGAAGCCACTTGTCAGGGTCGAGTGGCTTCGTCATTGGTGGGTGAGCGTAAGGCATCTGCCCCTGATGCGCCACACGCGGACCTCTCCACGTCCGGCCAGCGCGGGAAATAGGAAGTAGGACATCCCCAGGGCACGCAGCTGTGGCGCCTCGCGAGGGGACAAGCAGCGTGGCCGGCACGCACTGAGGCTCGTCCCCGCCCGCGTCCCGTGGGACAGGAAGGCCGCCTCGATCCCATACGCGTGTCCCTTACCGTCGGGCGTGTTTAACGTCTGCGGGATTGCGGCGGCCCCTGATTCGCGAAGGTCTGGTCGGGATCTGTCAACTTGACGGTGACGGGGACTGAGCCGCCTTCGGTAGGAGCCGCTCGGCCAAGCGGTGCCGTTGCGGGTCGGGTCCGAGCTTTTTCATCGTGCGATGGGTTTCCGGGGACGGAACCGCATCGTGAGTCAGGGAGCCTCTGCTCACATCACGCACTTGTATCTACTCCGAGGCGACAGCAAAGCGGGGGACTCGAGTGGCCGCTCAGCCTCCCGACCCGCAGCGATCAGAAACGCAGCGCTGTCTGGGGCCGCGCGGGCTCCGTCCTGCCTCAGATTCGCAAAGACCGGCCCCTCGGGGGTGGGGAGGCGGAC